AATTGTTTGGAATTAAAGTGGATTTCAAATTTAAGCGCAGAGTAGCTGAACTAAAAGCATGGTTGACATGGTTTGACCTTGAAGGGACACTGTAGGAACTATAGCCATTTTATCTCATTGAATTGGTTTTAGTGTCTGGAGTCCTCTGGCACTGTCTCTCCATTCACTGTCAAACCATTTCCATGCTATTTAAAACTAAACAAAGTTCCCCGGCCACCCACAGACCCGTCCCCACTGGAGGTGTGGCTAAAGCAGAGATTACACACTTCCTTCTAGTCTTCTAGGCTGATATAGGCTGAATGAAAGTGTTCCGCTGACAGTCTTGACCAATCAGAGCCACACATTGATGCTCAGTCTAATACTCCCTCATTAGCCCAAGTAGAACAGAGGGGAGAGGCTACTGGGGGCTCTCGTTTAGCATTTAAACATTGCAAATGAATGAATGCAGAATTGAAGGATGGTGCCAAAGGACTCCAGACACTATAACAACTTCAATGAGATGTAGCAGTTACAGTGATTACTGTGTCCCTTTAACATTGAAATTCTCTTTTTAGTGACTAACCCTATTGGAATAATGACCAATGAGTAATCCAACCTGGTGGCGGTGGAATGCGCCAGGTATAGCTTGATTCTGGTTAATATTTTTGTCTAACAAAATGAATGTGAAGGTCAGACAGCCTTTATGTTATTTGCTTGTATGCATAATAACCATGATGACATTTAAAAAGTTTGTTTACAACAGACTAAATAGTGCAGCCTGCATGAGGCACCAGCTCCCATTACTTGATGATCATGTACACCCGATCTGGGGTACCACAGCGAACCTTTAAAACATGGCACGTTCATGTCTAGACCACTTACTGGACAGCACTGCTCTGCCCTCTGATTTAATACTTGATCGTTCCGGACATAAACTTGCAGATTTAGATGGAATTAAGAATGGAGTTATTCTGTGAACTATTACAGTCCACTAAAAACCTGTACAGCAGTTTTTGCACTTAGAAACGTGCATGGCCAAAAAAAATGGTTTTGTTTCTTCCGGTTAGTTTCTGAATTTCAGTTCGCCCAAAATTTGGAAATTATCAAATCGGAAAAAAAATTAATTCAGATGCCATTATTCATAACTATTTCAAAGGAAACAAAATTAGGGTGCAGTATAAAAGATAGCTCCCAAATTTGCTCTCCCTTAAAATGATAATCTCACATAGGGGTGCCAAATTAGGTAGCTATCTACTAAACAGTTGCCTGAAAGGTCACCATTATGAAAATATCATTTTTTTTCTTAATTTAAAAAATAAATAAAAAATAGTTCATTCACTTGGTATCGGGGGATTACCTTTAATTATGGTAACCCTACGTAAGGAGCTATTTATTAAACAGCTGGAAGGACACAATTGAGAGAAAAATACATTTTCTTAATTTTGCTGTTTCGGTTGCCTAATAGATAACTTCCTGTTTTGCAATCCTTATAAAAACGAATGGATCAGAAAAATGTAGTTTCGATTTGCTCCGAATTTGTCAGTTTCCGGTTTGTTTCGATTTGTAAGGAATTTGGAAATTTTGACACTTCCGAATTGCCAAATTTTTCCAAATTTGGAACAAAAAGAATTGCACATGTCTATCCTGTTGGATAATGTTCTTGTTAGTAAATAACCCCCATGTATGTGTATGAAATTGGGGGGCTGGTAGTATCCAAGACTGTCTTACTCACTCATTACTTACATGTTGGAAATACTCACTCCAGATTCTCTTTAGAACATATACCAAAAGCGTAACCCAAAGAAAGGGAAACACCACTAAGGGAGTCGTCTATTAAATATAAACCTATTATATATCATTGGAAACTCACTTAGTGGTGTTCCCCTTTATTTGGGACACAGTTTTAGTATATATCCTAGTTTAATTGCGCCATAAGGGTTAGCCCTTTGCGGGTGGCGTCTGTTGGTCCAATCCGATTTTAGATTTCTTTTGGGTGCCTATCTGCTTTTTTCCCCTCAGATTTTTGTTAGCTTTGTTCAGCTCTGAAGACTTTGTTAATGTGAAGCCTCATCTACACTAACACAGCATAGTGTAACCTACAATTTAGGGTCCTAAGCCAAAATATCTCTGGTTAGAGTGAGTGAGTCTCATCCTCAGTGAGTGAGGATGTGGTTAGCCCTATAGCAAGGTTGGACCCTTAGGTTAAGGTTAAAAAGGTCCCTGGGAAGGTTTCCCTGTGTTTTGTAGGGTCGCAGATTAAGGGTTAGTGACAGCAAAGGTTAGGGTCAGTATGGGTTTGAATAAGTGGAGGTTAGAGTTGATAGAGCAGCTGTTTTATTGATTGATTTTGATTGTTGGAGGTGCTATGTTTATATTTTGTTTATGATTGGAGCAGTGCATGATGCATTGTCATTGTGTAGGCACAGTCAGAAAGTTAAAAGGGACAGCACCCCATCATGTTTAAACATCACCAGCCACCACTAGGGCTGAGATTAAGATTAGTAGCATTCCAGGTTATGGCATGTGAGGTCCAACGTTACGGTTAGTTTGGTCACAGGCTCGGGGTCTCGAGGTTGGAGGTTAGAGTTAGTGTTGTCCAAAATTCTGGTTATAGGGTTCCCAGGTCGCAGTTAGTAGGTTCCCAGGTTAGGTGTAGCACAGTCTGATATAACATTTTTAGAAGGATGCAAGTTTAGAGTTAGTGATTTCAGAATTAGTAGGGGTCCACAGTGAGGTTTATTCATTTCCATTGGGGTGAGAAATTGTGGCCCAGCTCCTATCATAGTGGAGCAGCCAGGGGTGAATTTATGATGTCATATTTCCTCACAGGAACTTCTCTTTACCGTGATATACTTTTCAACATACCTTCACCTTTAATGTATATTTTGTATCCTTTTTCATGAATATTGCATTTATCGCCAGTGCACAGGCTACACCCCTCTATACAGTGGCAGAACTAACAAGGTCGCAGGGGTTTCTGCTGCGACCAGGCCCGTCACTCCAGGGGGCCCCTGCAACCGAGGTGTCCGCCAACAAGTTACCCCTCTGCCCCTATAACAGATGTTATATAAGAATTATAACTTTCCTATTTGGTCATACAAATATTTGTACACACAGTCTACTCAGGCTGTCTCCTTCACTTGCAGAAGCTTACAGGAGAGCACACATAAACATTCCAGGTAGATTCTGAAATATTTCACAATTGCCTAGTGAGCAGTGAGCAGGCAGCGAACAAATGGTTAATTTAAAATATATATATATATGTCCACGTGAGTCCAGCTCTCTCTCTCACGGTCCTGTGCTATCCTGGCTGTTTACTTCAGCCAAAACGTACATAATCCAAGAAAAGTGCACTCACAGGACTGATGATTTTCCAATTTCTAATTCTTTTATTGTGCTATATAGATACAACACATTCGTATCAATGTTCCAGTCCTCTGTGGGACTTTTTTCAAGATATATATATAGTTTTAATAAAGAAATAGGGTCTCTATGACCCCTATTAAAGCAGAGTGGACTCTCTACCTGACATCTGGGTGGGCTTAACTCTATTTGCACACGCTGTGTGTGGTGAGGTGTGGGATGTATTTGGGTGCAGGTGGTCTTACATATCCCTATGTGCTCTTTAGCCTACATGTCTCCCCCTACAAAGTTCGAGGATGCCCACTTACTCAGCATTAAATAATGTAAGCCCCTCTTAAAATGCAAACACTGAAAAGCCTACCCGCAATTTACATAGTGGGCAGCATTGTGACCACACTGTTTTCATTTTATTTTTGCACTTTCTGAACATTACAAAACTGATGTTTGTGCTTTAACGGCAGATTTTTAGAAGATTTGCAGGACAAAATATACTGCACACTGAATCCCCCCAATATTTCTATAAACAATGAACAAATACATGAAAAATAAAAATTGTCTAATGACATGTTCTATGTGAACGTCTCTCTTTTGTTGTTGTTATTCGTAAAAAAAAAAAAACACACAAAAAAAAACTCAGCAATGAAAGGGTTAATTAACTTTACAGGTTCTGCCAGGTGTACAACCCAGGTGTAAAACTTTAATGCTACCGGCCGCCTCTGTGCCATATGTATTCTAACTTCCATCCCTCCCCCTCCTATCGGAGAAAGGATAAGTTCCACTGTAGAGAATACAAAGTAAAGAGGAAGTGGCTGGATTCTATGATTGCATGTATTTTCCCTCGGAGTTTCTCTTTCGAAACAACTTCATTTCTTGTTTCCATCTCCAGCGAGTGGAGGAGACCAATAACAATGCAGTATAGTAGCTGAAGAGATAGCAAAGGCTCAGCCCATTTCTGATGTCACTGTGGAATTTCTGCCTGTAACATAGTATAAAAGAGATCTGTTAGCAGATGGTACCATGATCACAATAAACTGGGAGTTCAGAGACATTGTTAAAGTCAAGAAGCCAACATAACCCCAGCAGAATGAATAACGTAGAATCCCAAATGGAGAATGGACTCTTAGTTGTCCGAGAGATTAAACCCAAACAGCGTTTCTGCCACTGGCTCGGAATCTGCTCCTTCGTCCTCTTATTGGTGGCCACCGTCATCTTGGCCCTTCTGCATTTCGAGATTATCCCAAGACCTGCAAAGAAGGTGTGTGTCGCTTAGGATGGCATGATGGGTGTGGGAGGGCAGGCAGTGGCATTTCTTAAATACAGCTGAAGGCTTGGAGCAGCATGCCCAGTGCAGGCAACAGTCAGGGGCAGTGTCACCAAGTGTCACTGAACACTGAGCAACTAAATAGTGACTATACAGCTGTTGCAGACTACATTGCCCACAATGCACAGCTGAAGTGCAAACATTTAACCATTGCTTTGCTGTGTTGTAGTCATGAATGCCAGAGCTGTTGTTTAGTAATGAATATGTTATTGTGCTTTGGCCAAACAGGTTTGTTAAGTTTTAATTTTAAGTCATATTCCCAATACTGCAAAGATAATTACTTACGGTTAGAACGATGAGTGTGTTTAAGTGGGTGTGTTTGTGTGTGAGAGAGTGTGCATTTTAAGCACAAATGATTGTTTTGTTTTTACAGTAAACCTCCTGTAGCTAATTGACCGACTCTCTTTTTTTTCAGAATGAATTTGAAATGCCAGAGTTTGTGGGCATCAAGACATTTTTAGGTAAGTTTAACTGAGCTTAAATGTCACTGTTTGCTATTGTTTGTTACTGTATCAGGGTTATAGAGAGGGAATGGGGACATACGGTTTAATACTGAGGATCTTACACTCACTTCTCAATTCCTCTTTGTTTTTTTAGATTCTGTTCCACAAGAAGCTGAGGCACAGACAAGAGTGGCAAACAAGCTGGCCGCCCATTTGACCGGTAAGAAAAATAATTTTCAAAGATTTGCTCATTCATTGAATTTTTATTTGCATCTTTTCTCAACTTGCAGTCTCTTTCCCTTTGCTCACTTCTTTGTTTCCATATTTTACAGGTGTTAGAAGCAAAAATGAGATCTCCTGGAAAGGGGAGTCCCAAAATTCCTTTTTGGAGAATGAGATGAAGCTTAAAAATAATGCCCTGGTAATTCCAAAGGATGGGCTGTACTTCGTATACACACAAGTCATCTTCACCGGCTTATCTTGCGTAGACACAAATGCTATCCAGCTGACACACAAAGTCAATAAATACAGTGACTCAGAAGGAGACGCTTCGCCCATTCTCACATCAACTAAAACAGCCTGTGAGGTACAATCTAAATCCGCTTGGTTCCATCCTATATACCAAGGTGGAATTTTTCAGCTTGACAAAGGAGACGTGCTCTCCACTTCAACCACCGACATTAAATATGTTGATACAAATAATGGGAAGACCTACTTTGGTATTTTGGCTATATAAGAAGATACAAGGTTTGAATACACCAGCCAATGTTTCATCATGGTCAGCGGCATTTGAAAATACAGGAAATGGCAAGCCTGGTTCTAGAAGGTTGACGTGGTAGATGTCAACAATACGTCTTGGACTTACAAAGCTCTAAAACTGTAGTTTATAGCTATTTTCCATAATATTTATGGGAATTACAACTTCTACATCCTCGATGATCTACTTAGAAAGCAAAGCTGGTGGAAGGTTTGCCATAGTATTTTTTCGATGGATCGGTTATCGGATGCCCAAAGATCACACACATGGACATCCAGATTGGAACGTCTTGGAATCTTGCCCTTACAATCACAACCATGACTTTGATTCATTTTTTTTTACTATTTATTTTATTTTATTTCAGATCTGTTACAAAATCCTCTCTTATTTTGAACGATATATGCTTTTAATATGTATTTATTTATTTATTTATATTGTTATTTATTTAAATATTGTTATTATGTAACATGTAGGAATGTATTCTTATTCTATTTTTTTTATTTATATGTGAGCAGAGGGAGTCTTACGTTTGCATACAATGTATGCTTTTGTTAATCTTCATTTTGAAGAGTGGAGAGTATGCAACCATTTCAAACTGTTAAAATGTCATATGGAGGTGTGTTCAATAACACATTTCCCATTCACCCTAGCGGAAACAATAAAAATACAATGGGCATTATTCTCAAACAGGATTATTCATTAAGGTGAGAATTCAAAGAGAATTTCAAATTCATGGTAAAAAATAGACAGACTGGAATAACTCTCAAATATGTCAAATATGCTTGCAGTTCATCTACCTTGGCCTTAAATTTAAATTCACTTTGAATTTCCAGTTTAGAGAATAAGACTGAGAGAGTCAAATACTAGCTGGGGATGATGGGAATTGGAGTGCACTTTCTTGGTCTTAACATTTTTTTCACTCTTGAAATAGTCTTTACAAAAATAATTCTTTAGAATTACTAATTAATCTCTCATGAGATGAGACGAACTAACAATGAAAGTCCTGCCTCGAAATTATGTTGTCAAATAACACTAGGAGACTCCGTGACCTCTGCTAATGACCTTGGAACTCAGGGCTTAAATGTCCTCTCTGTTTTTGGAATGTATTTAAATTTGAATGTATTTGATTTAATCTCTTAATGTTAAACCGTTAAACCTCCTATGGGGGGAATTAGATTGGGAAACGGAAAAATGTTCTCACGTGTATGTATTTTATCATACAGATATAATAAATTATAAAATTACATTTTTTTGGTGCATGCGATTTTTCTTATTTTATATCATCTAATCTTGACGTAACTGCATGTGTTTAAATACTGCACTATAGAAGTTCCGAGATGTTTAGTTTTTTTGAATGCAACACTATGCCTACCTATCTATGCCTTTTGACTTACCAAAGTTACTTCCCATTCTAATCCATGTATCCAGTCATGTGCTCACCGTCTTTTCATATCCTGAAAATATATGCAATGATGAGACAGCGGAGTGATTTGTGCTCTTGTTATCATATCTTGAGTACATGGTCAAGCCTCATGAATGCAGGATGGATTCCCAGCATAATCATCTCTGCCTTTCATTCCTCTGACATATCTCCCAAGTCCAACTCCCTCTGTCAATCTTATCCATCCGAATGTCCATCTTTTCTAGGAGCTCCATATTGTTGGTGTGTGTCTTAGTGTATGACGGAGCTCCACAGCAATAATACTCCCAGTAATGTGTCTGAGTGTATAACAGAGCTCCACAGCAATAATACTCCCAGTAATGTGTCTGAGTGTATAACAGAGCTCCACAGCAATAATACTCCCAGTAATGTGTCTGAGTGTATAACAGAGCTCCACAGCAATAATATTCCCAGTAATGTGTCTGAGTGTATAACAGAGCTCCACAGCAATAATATTCCCAGTAATGTGTCTGAGTGTATAACAGAGCTCCACAGCAATAATATTCCCAGTAATGTGTCTGAGTGTATAACAGAGCTCCACAGCAATAATACTCCCAGTAATGTGTCTGAGTGTATAACAGAGCTCCACAGCAATAATACTCCCAGTAATGTGTCTGAGTGTATAACAGAGCTCCACAGCAATAATACTCCCAGTAATGTGTCTGAGTGTATAACAGAGCCCACAGCAATAATACTCCCAGTAATGTGTCTGAGTGTATAACAGAGCTCCACAGCAATAATACCCCAGTAATGTGTCTGAGTGTATAACAGAGCTCCACAGCAATAATACTCCCAGTAATGTGTCTGAGTGTATAACAGAGCTCCACAGCAATAATACCCCCAGTAATGTGTGTGTGTGTATCACAGAGCTCTACAGCAATAATACTCCCAGTAATGTGTCTGAGTGTATGACGGAGATCCACAGCAATAATACTCCCAGTAATGTGTCTGAGTGTAAAACAGAGCTCCACAGCAATAATACTCCCAGTAATGTGTCTGAGTGTATAACAGAGCTCCCCAGCAATAATACTCCCAGTAATGTGTCTGAGTGTATAACGGAGCTCCACAGCAATAATACTCCCAGTAATGTGTCTGAGTGTATAACAGAGCTCCACAGCAATAATATTCCCAGTAATGCGTCTCAGTGTATAACAGAGCCCCACAGCAATAATACTCCCAGTAATGTGTCTGAGTGCATAACAGAGCTCCACAGCAATAATACTCCCAGTAATGTGTCTGTATAACAGAGCTCCACAGCAATAATACTCCCAGTAATGTGTCTGAGTGTATAACAGAGCCACACAGCAATAATACTCCCAGTAATGTGTCTGAGTGTATAATAGAGCTCCACAGCAATAATACTCCCAGTAATGTGTCTGAGTGTATAACAGAGCTCCACAGCAATAATACTCCTAGTAATGTGTCTGAGTGTATAACAGAGCCCCACAGCAATAAAACTCCCAGTAATGTGTCTGAGTGTATAACAGAGCTCCACAGCAATAATACTCCCAGTAATGTGTCTGAGTGTAAAACAGAGCTCCACAGCAATAATACTCCCAGTAATGTGTCTGAGTGTATAACAGAGCTCCACAGTAACAATACTCCCAGTAATGTGTCTGAGTGTATAACAGAGCTCCACAGTAACAATACTCCCAGTAATGTGTCTGAGTGTATAACAGAGCTCCACAGCAATAATACTCCCAGTAATGTGTCTGAGTGTATAACAGAGCTCCACAGCAATAATACTCCCAGTAATGTGAGTGTATAACAGAGCTCCACAGCAATAATACTCCCAGTAATGTGTCTGAGTGTATAACAGAGGTGGACAGCAATAACACTCCCAGTAATGATTGAAATGTCTCAGAACAGCACTGACCCACATACCTAAAATTAAAGTGTCCCCTCTTTGTCTATTTGAGATGTCTGCATGTACATTCTGAGGTTAATACCAGCAGTACTATTGAGCTGGGAGACAATAACATGTGTTCTCCAAGATAAATTTAAGATTAAAAGCCAAATGTATCAAATGTACCCAGAAATACTTTGTTGCAACTATTATTGGATACAGAGCATTCTTTAATGTCATTTCAGATTGTGATCATCCTCAAGTTCCCCGGCCTCATGCTCTCATTCCCAGCTCCCTTACAACCAATCAAGCTTTTGTGATCAGGCCACCGCCCCATCCCAGCTCCATTACAACCGATCAAGCTTCAGTGATCATACCACCGCCCCATCCCAGCTCCCTTACAACCAATCAAGCTTCAGTGATCAGGCCACCGCCCCATCCCAGCTAAATTACAACCAATCAAGCTTCAGTGATCAGGCCACCGCCCCATCCCAGCTCCCTTACAACCAATCAAGCTTCAGTGATCAGGCCACCGCCCTTACAACCAATCAAGCTTCAGTGATCAGGCCACCGCCCCATCCCAGCTCCCTTACAACCAATCAAGCTTCAGTGATCAAGCCACCGCCCCATCCCAGCTCCCTTACAACCAATCAAGCTTCAGTGATCAGGCCACCGCCCCATCCCAGCTCCATTACAACCAATCAAGCTTCAGTGATCAGGCCACCGCCCCATCCCAGCTCCCTTACAGCCAATCAAGCTTCAGTGATTAGGATCCTTCTCCCTCAGATCCATTCCTCCTTGCGAGTTTCGTTTTTTCTGGGTGAAAGCAAATTGTTTGCCATCAGGCTTATCCCAGAGAATGGGCTGTGGATCATTTTCCTACTTAGTTACAGTACTCTTCTCTATCATATAAATCCAAATTTCCTTCTTTTATTTTCTGTTCTCAACTCTTTTATGCCTTTCTCCATTCTACAACCACATGTGTCTGTTTCACTCTGCATCCCTCCATCTCTCACAACCTTTCTTCAGGAACTCTTTGATAACCATCTCCTTTACCCTGTATCTCGCGTCCATCAAAAATAAATCTTTTTATATCATTAATTATATCTTATCTCATCTTTTAATATCATCTTACCCTCATGTTAATCACCCAAACATGCAAAAAGTACAATTTACACCTTCAACTTGCCCTCCCACATTGCAAAGAGGCCATCTTTTAAATCAGGGCCGCATTAACATAGGGGCTGATGGGGCTGAAGCTCCGGGCTAATGGAACAAGCCCATAAAAGAAAAAAGGCACATTTATATTTATTTTTTAATTAATTAATTTACATTTATATATTTTATCAATGGGCCTATTCCATATTTATTTATTTTTATCAATATATACATTTGGTTTTACTACTTTTTACATGGTCTTTCTTTGTACAGAGGGAATTAAGTATTGTAACTTAAGAGTGATGTAGGGGAACAAAACTGGTGTGGACTAGCTGACAATGAAATTAGTTAAGGTAAATGCTGTTTCAGCATGCTGTTGTGGCATGTTCCCTTTCTTCTACACTCACTACATCAACATTTTCCCTGTCCCAGACTGCATACCAGGTGCTTCTGCCTGCTAGTAACGGTAAGTAGATGAGTGGGCAAGTGAGTGCTAGAGGACAGTCTTCAGAAAACAGAGAGCAAGGGAAAGCTCATGGCACTGTCTAAATAGTACGCCCTTAGTTGGCCAGCCTGCATGATTGGCGGGCAGCCTGACATGCATTCACGCCAGACTGACCTTCCAATTGTGCGCCCCTTTGGGCAGTGCCCGTTACGTGATTCGCGTCAGTTACCCATGGCACTCTGCTTCACTGGACACGCTACTATGGGGTATAGATTTGGTTGAGAGATAACCTGGGGCATGTGTTTTCTTAAAGCTATATCCTGTGAGTTTCCATCCAGCACCACCTCCACCAGATACACGATGCTTGGGAGGTATAACTGGTTTAGTGTTTTCTGTTGATAAGGTTCTGTAATTAGGCCCATCATAATTGCCAGCACTAGGCCCACTGGGCTCTTAAAGGACCACTGTAGTGCCAGGAAAACATGCTCGTTTTCCTGGCACTATAGTGCCCTGAGGGTGCCCCCATCCTCAGGGTCCCTCGCCCGCCCGGCTCTGGAAGGGGGAAAAGGGGTTAAAACTTACCTTTATTCCAGCGCCGGGCAGGGAGCTCTCCTCCTCCTCTCCACCTCCGATCCTCCTCCTGGGCTGAATGCGCATGCGCGGCAAAAGCTGCACGTGCATTCAGCCGATCTCATAGGAAAGCATTCATAATGTTTTCCTATGGACGCTTGCGTCTTCTCACTGTGATTTTCACAGTGGGAAGCACGCAAGCGCCTCTAGCGGCTGTCAATGAGACAGCCGCTAGAGGCTTTAGAGGCTGGATTAACCCTATTATAAACATAGCAGTTTCTCTGAAACTGCTATGTTTATAAAAAAAATGGGTTAACCCTAGCTGGACCTGGCACCCAGACCACTTCATTAAGCTGAAGTGGTCTGGGTGCCTATAGTGGTCCTTTAATCCGGCCCGGTTTCAAACATTTTACTCAGATACTGTAACACCAGAGACAGGCTTGTATATGGCTAGTTTCTATACAATAATACTAATATAAATCAAGTAAAAACAATCAGAGTTATTTACTAAAGTGAGAATTTTAAAGTGAATTTTAAAGGGAAACAATTTCTTTTCCTGCCACCCTAGCTTCCTATAGTGCCCCTCCCCAGCCCCAGGACTGAAAATCCCTTTGTGACTTACCTGAGTCCAGTTTTATTCAATGCTTTCCTGTGGGGTTTTGGGTGACACTGGATGTCCTTATAAATAGCGCGAGTACATCCAGCGTCAGTTAGGCGACCAAATGTCGCCTAACCACCCGGAAGGTAATTATCCCTCAAAACAGAATGCACGTGTCATGGTTGATTATATATTTCCTGCCTGTTCTATGTTAAATTTTGTATATATTGTGTATTAATATTGTTTTTGTATTTTGTTGTACCTAATGTAATAATGCAATGATTTGTGGACCCAGGACATACTTGAAAACGAGAGAAATCTCAATGTATCTTTCCTGGTAAAATATTTTATAAATAAATAAATAAATCAATACACAGAATATTGTTTTGGGACTTGAGGATTTTGCTAGTTTAGTCTAAATTCTAGGGGTTGGCTTTGAAATCATTATAAATCTGTGTTTAGGGAAAATCTCTCAATTTGATTATTTATGGCTGCAATCATTATGTCACGTTTTGTGTTTGGAAAATGCGATTCTTCTCCCTAGAGCGCGGGTCTTGTTTTGACCACGGGCACACATTATTTAGCAGCCAGGATGGTCTTTCTTATCATTTGACCTTATCACAGTTATCACAGTGTATAGGATTTCAATCAGCGGAAATTCTACCCATGTTTCCATTTAGCTCTTTTTCACTCTCTATTAGAGAATTGTTGCCAGTTTTCCACATTTGCCAGGTTTCCGCATTCTGCCGGGAGCAAATTGAAAACTGCTGGCTGGAAGCCATGATTAACTAACGGAGATCAGATTGCATAACAGAAAGTATTTAGGGACATTCAAACACACAGTGCATGACAAAGTTATCAAACAAAGAGAGGATCACCTCAATGGGTTCCATGCAAGAGTTAACAAAGAGCAAGTAATGTATGGTCCTCACCGTCCAAAGGTCGGGAAGCAAAAAGAGAGTTGAGAGATAATGGGAAACTCCAGTGTGAGTTGACACCCATTTTTAATTAGAATCAGACACAATTAATTAAATTACTCCTTAGAAAGATACATGGAATTACATGCTCTGCAGCCATTCTCCCAAGTCTACAAAATGCCTGAAAAATCTCCCCCTCTTTTGTATTAAGTGAAGATCTGAGCAACATTCAATCAACCAATGCCCAGCAGGGACTTATGGGGTGCATCGTTCAGCACTGGGCAGTAGTTTAATTGATGAAAAGCAATGAAGGAAGCTGTGACACAAGACAACTGCCATTCCCATCCTGAATATTATGGTAGTGGAATGTAGCTAGACACAGTCATATCTGTGCAAAGCCACGACAATGGCTCTTTCATGGAAATCTGTGAGAGAGACTGTCAGACTGTATGGAAACTTGTATGCCACGCTCCCATCTTGCAACCATACTATAGTATACCTTGTAAGTAAGTTCTAATATTTCAACATAGAAACACATCACTTATCACATTGATTCAGGATATTATTTACTGCCTTGGGAGCTGTTATATGTTGAAATGAGCCAGGACTCCAGGAGAGACAAGTTCACTTAAATAAAAAATTCTGTGGGAGAACAGGAAGACAGTTTGCTATTTTTATTAACAGGGCTAAATATAAGGATAGGCCACCTACAACCTATTAATTAATAATAGACAAACAAATTACTTTAAGCACCTGTGACCTCATTTAAATTCTCAAGCCAAGATGTTTATATTTGTTTTTGTTAATTATTTCCCTCTTGTGACTTGCCACAAGAAAAGAATCAAAATGTCTAGCTTAAATAAACCAGATTGCCTAAAAAAAAGAGTCAAAATGCAGCAAAAAAGAGAGGATTGACTAATTTAGCAAATATTATCATGATGCAGGTAATGTGCAGTTGGAGGCTTCCATAATGTCCCAAATATTGCATGGACCCAGGGCCGGCCTTAGGGGTATGTGAGCTGTGCAGCCGCAGCGGCGACAGGCGGCCGATATAACTTGCACGTGCCCCAAGTGCAGGTGTGAAGGATGTGCACAGACCCTATACTGCAGATCGCACCATGTAGCTTGGCCATGCGGCATTTCATTATCCTCCACCCGTGTCCATCAGAGAACCCGATAAAGCAGTGGTGATGTAGCTAAATGTTTTTGTGGGGGGCAAAGCTAAATGTAGCCTTAACCCATTGTCTGGTTGGTGCTGAACACTGAAGGGGAAGCAGGAAGGATTCCGTTTCCCCAACAACTAGACATTAGGGACTGAGGGTGCCTCTGCTCCTTCTCCATAACGGAGAGATGTAACTGTCTGCCTCTAACTGTGTATGTGACAGTCTATCTGGAAGTGTGTGTGTGTAGACTGTGTGTGTGTGTGTGTGACTGCCTGTAAGTGTGTGTGTGTGCAATTTCCTATAACTGTGTGTGTACAACTGTCTGCCTGTGACTTCCTGTACCAGTGTGTGCACTCAACTCTGCGTTTGTGTGTGTGTGTCTCCCTGTACCTGTGTGTGACTGTTTGCCTGTACCTGTGTGTGACTACCTGTAACTGTGTGTTTGACTTTATTCCTGTAACTGTCTTTGTGACTATGGGCCTGGTACTGTGTGCATGTGGCTGTATTCGACAGTGTAAGTGTATAACTGTTTGCACCTCACTGTGGGACTATGCGTATGTGACTCTGCAAATATACCTGCATTCACACATGGGCTTACATGCATATACATGCACAGCCAATATACCCAGCACAAATATCACACACTCAATACACACAAATACCACACACAGTCAATACAGCCAGCACAAATGTCATACACAGCCAAGAAATAGCATTTCACATACGTACGGCCATCATACTTATCACATTTTCTAAAATCCTGGCTAAGGTATGCATGTGGGTTATTGACACACTCTATAGTGACAGAATACAAATCGAGGATATTATGTACTGCCTTGGGAGATGTTAAAAGGAGCCTGGAGCGACATGTTCACTTCAATGCTGAAGATAAAATGGTCTGTACGAGAACAGGAAGACGGTTTGCTATTTTTTTCTCACAGGGCTACTTATAAGGATACACCGCCTACAACCTATTAATTAATAAGAAACAAACAAATTATTTTTTAGCAACTGTGACCTCATTTCAATTCTCAAGCCAAGTTATATATTATTTTTGTTAATTATTTCCCTCTTGTGACTGCTGATGTACAGGGCTCACTGTTCTCACGACAAGATGAAAATACCCCACAATATAGCCTGGGGGATCATTTTAATTTGAGACCTGTTCTTCCACCTCAGTGTAGGCAAACATGGGAATGGCCATATCCTTATTGATCTACCCGGTGGGTTAT